CCCGCCGAGCCCCGCCAGCTCCCCCCCCGCCCCGACAACCGCTCCCCCACAGCCGGCCGCGGCCATTACCGGGCACCAGCTGTAGGTGGTTCCCCATGTTGTTATGGGGCTCGCCACCTCCTTCCTCGGCGGCCATCGCTGTTTACCCGGAGAGGAGCCTGGGAAGCCGGCGGGGCGGGGGAAGGAGGAGGCGGGAGGAGGAGCCCGGGCGGCCACCGGAGAAGGCCCCGGGAGCCGCGGCCCGGTCCGGGAGTTTATGGCGGCGCTGCTGTAGCGCTGCGGACGGGTCGGGGCTGCCCGCCAGCTCCCGGGGCTCCGCGCCGTCCCACCCCTGCTGCCGGCGGGGTGTTTTATACTGCGGGGCCCTGAGAAAGGCTTCGCGGAGCGCCGGCGGGAGGGACCGGGGCTGCCCCTCAGCGCCGCGCTGAGGCGAGGGCGACCGCGGCGAGCGGCAACTCCGCGTCCCCGGGGAGGGACAGGGCCGGCGGCTTCCCCTGGGGTCCCCGGGGCTCGGGAGGTGGCAGGGGACAGCGGGGACGAGGCCGTGTGTGTCCGCCGGGCCCCCGGGTGCCGCTTTTCCTTGAGGGGACGCGGCCATGGCTGAGCTCGGCAGAGCCTCCCGCTGCTTCCCCCCCACACAGCGCTCCGTGCCCGAGTTCTGGGAGAGGGGATGGGTGTGAGTGAAATCCAGGGTGGATTCACCGCTCGGGTACGTGGCTCGGAGGAGAAACCGTAAACACACCGGTTAATTATGTGAAATCCCGGCAGAGATCCCTGAGGGAGACCCGGTGGGGACGGGTGAGGCGAGGGGAACCAGGGCAGCCATGCTGCCTGGGCCAGCGGCAGGGTAAACTAAGGATCAGCCGGCAAACAAAATGCTATCTTCCCGCCCCGAATTAAAGTATTTTAGAGAAATAATTTTTAAAGATAAATAGCAGTCCAATTTCCTTGCCATCATGGGTGGGAAATCTCAAAGTACTCGTTCTCTGTGAACCGAGCGTGTCTTCAGAGCAACCCTGGATACCCATTCACCAGACAAGGAATGTAGCACAAACCTGCCTTTGATGATACATTAAACATTTATAAGAATACAATAATCACTTAAATTATTAAGTTACGATTCCATAACTTTTTCTGCATCATCTCAGTGTCCTATACATAATTCCACAGTATTATATCTGTTTATTATATACCATAACAAAAAAACCCACCCAAATTACTTTGTTGTCAGGCTGGATTGGCAGTCTGGCAAACTGAAATACTAAAAAAAAAAAGAGCTGCTACTTCTCCAAACCCTGGGATTTGATTACAAACCATTATGCTAAATATTTTTGGCTGCTTATGATATGCTAATCTATTTTGATTTCTGTTGGTTTTTTACTTAACTGCTGAGGGTACACTTGAGTCACACTTTTAAGCTTGTTTCTACAGTCTTGAGGGACAGAACTTATTTTTTAATGGCTGCTTAGATTCTCAAATAATTCACATGACTGAAGGAGTTTGGGTTTTTTAAGGAAACACTATATACAATAATAATCATAATAAAATGATGAGTCCTGGAAACTCTGGGACCAAAACCCAAGAGTTCCCTAGTTCTTATTTTGGATGATAATGCATCTCTTTATGACCTTAACACTGCTAAGAGCTATATTTGTGCTCTAATTCTAGCTAGTGCCTTAAATCTAAATCCAACCCCCCCAGTTGGGCACTAGCTCTAATTTAGTCTCTGGCTATAAATTACAGACATTGTTATCCACCAGCCTTTCCTACATGGGCACAATGAAGACACAAGATTTTTCTTGAGATGCGTGATCTCTGTTAGGTTCCGTCTTTCTGTCAGGATGTTTATTCTAAGTATGATTAGGTTTTAGGTAAAAAAATACATTTACCATATAAATATTTACATTTATTATCAGAAAAGGCAGTCTTCAGGAGTGTGAGAGTCATTAACCTCACGCTTTAATCCATCCCAGCATGTGGCACATTCCCATACTCGGACTGGAATTGCTGGAAGTCGTTTCCTGTTTTTCCAGCAGTATCAGCCCCGGGTCAGGTTCAAGACAGAAAGCAGCAGGTTGTAGACTGAAGACCAACTGTGTAAATCCCAAGTTATTTTACTAAATTTGGTGAGGGCAAGTATATGTATATCCCAGAGTCTGTCAGTTAATCTGGTCAGTGCCAATTTGTCTGAGAGTAGCCCAAATTACTGTAATTTAGATGAAGCCGGAGCACTTCAATATAATGAAGGGCTTTTTAGTTTTTAGCAGCTGTTTATCAAAGATACACACAGCCAGCTATGATGGATTTTCATTTTGCTTTAGGAGTGCTGCTTGTAAGTATGTTGATTTAGAAACAAGATTTAAATACCATGTTACTGGACCTTGTGGGTTTAATGCCCAAATTGGTATTGCAACTGATGGTTGAGAATAGTGGCTAATTGCAATGTTGCTGCCGTATCCTCTTAGGAGTTTGGAGTCAGGGAATGTTAATCACCTTTCCAGAACAAAAATAAACAGAGAAGAACAGCAATGCAAAGGATATTAAAATACAGCAATGGTTACAATTTGAGTTGGTGTTGCTGAGGGTCATATTCAGGATGAAGAAATCCCAGGCTTGGGTGCTGGGTACCTGAGACAAGTACATTAATTACGGGTGCAGTTCTCAACACAACGTGTTTGCAAACAAACAGCAACCTCCCCCTTGTCAGTTGGAACAGAATATATACTCTACCAAACATACACCTCTGCCCCCGCCTCCAAAATATACCATTTTGTTATTTAATCAAATACTTTTTATTAAAGTCAATTTGCTATTTAATCTCAGTACTCGTCCTCCCATTTTTTTCAGCATATGCACTCCTGTATCCACATCCCTGCTATCACCAGGAGGAAAAACTATGTGACTGGTAGGAGGATAAAAGAAAAGGAACTAACAGGAGCTGTACCGACAACATCTTTGCTGTGTAAAACCCACTTACATCCCTTAGCTCCCTCCTGCCTCGGCACCAGCTGAAAGAAAATAAGTTGTCAGAGTGTCTGAGTGGCCAATGCACTCCCTCTTCTCCACCTACATACTTGAATTAAGTGGAAAATTAAGTGAATTTACTCTATTGCTGGGGTAAGAAGCACTAGATGGTGCTATAACATACATTTCTGCAGATTTTGGGTTTTGTGCGAATTAGTCAGCCGTGCCGCGCTGTTAGCTCGGGGATTTCTATTTTTAGGGGATTCGCAGCAAACAATGGAAAAGTTTGATCTCTGACCTAATCCCTTTAAATTAGGTTTTTGTGTGATTCTGCAACATGCTGTTGTGACTACCTCTGCTTCAAAAGCTGCCTGTATAGTCTAATTAAAATAGGGAAAGTCTTGTTGTATATATGCCATTGATTTCTGCTCTGCCAATAAACTGGCTTGTTATACACCCAAACCCGCTAGTTCTAGGCAGAACAAAGTAATATGTCTAAATATTTCACAATAAAAAGTGACTCGACCTTTAGATGATTTATAAAATACTGACAGTAAGAAAGCAGCAGCGAGACAAAAAATAAATCTATACTTGAGACATGAAAAAAGCCAGTTACAAAAAATACATGGAACCATCCTCATACCAACAACCAGGCAGCTCCAACATTAAAGACACTTGCCATCACCCGAGGAAATTCCTGGCTTTTCAAGTCAATCAGCCCAAATTACCAGTTTAGTGTGGTACTTCCAAAGGCCCTGGTGCAAACAGGGAAGAATTCCTTCTTCTAATTGTAAAACCAGACCAGATTCTGGCAGCTCCGCATATACCAGGTTATCAAATTTGCCATTGCCAAGCTACTGCATCATCAGAGTTGTCCATTCCAATATTAAATGTACTCCAAGAGAACACAGACAATGGAGTAAGGCAATTCCAAAAGCAAAAAAAAATCAGTGATGGACAGGAGAGCTCAATACATGTGGTTTTTCAAGGGTTGTGAAGTTAAGGAGCAGCAGATGACTGGTTTATCAGGAGGCAGCTAATGTTTGCTGCAGTTGGCATTCTTGGGCATATTTACCACTCTTTTTTTTAATATTTGCTGCCTGGGTCAGGCTAGCGTGACAAATGAGCAGCTCTGAATATGCAAAAGGCTCTCAGACAAAGAGCCTATTAGCCAAACATGCCTATTACTATGCGTAGAAGCAAATTCTCCTGCCAGTGAACTCTCGCCAAGTAACAAAACTATTTGGCGTGTGTGCAAAAGCCATATTCAACACGAGTGACAGACAGCAGGGGATAGAAAGCAAATGTGACTGTAAACAGAAATTTGCTTCAATAAAGAGAAGAGAAAGTGAGGAAAAAACTCCATTTTAGGCAATGCTAGCTGCAGGGTACACCGAGTCAACGAAAACCCACGTCCTTTAGAGGTATTGCCTCTACCTAAATCCCGAGCTTCCAGACAGCTTCGAGATGAGTGTGCCTTTCTGAGAACAGGGGCCAAGACCTGCTCCTCTGGGATGGCAGCTCCTACAAATAGAGCTGTAAATCTGCGTCGCCGATGGGCAGCTTCACAGTTCCTGATGTAAATTAAAGATGGGCCCTGATGCCAGATCCCGACACTTCTGTGGTTGTGGGGAATGGCACTTCAAAGAGACTGGCAGAAGCACCAGTGAAAACAGCAGTAGGGTTGAGCAGAGTTCTGGTTACAGCACGATGACCCGAGAGCTTGAAAGGAACAGATTCTACCAGGGCTTCCTCGACCTGCTCTGGGTCCACCGTGGTTTGCACTGCCCCTGGGCCACCGCGAGATGTGTCTGGAGCGTTCAGATGGACGTTAGTGCAGACCTGATGTGTCTACACCTGCAGCGAGCTGCAAAGATTTATCAGAGACATGGGTCTGAACTTTCCTTTAAGTTTTTCCATAACAAAATTTTTGGTTTTCTTTGTGTTAATTAGGTGGCAAGACTTTAACCAACGTAAAGAAGAGTAACTCCGTTGAGTCTTACCAGCTATAACATTTCTTTTTCTTTCTGCACTGTTCTGGTTGGATCTGTCAGCACCTGCCTTAGCAGAAAGATCAATATATATATATAGTTCTAGATCACTGTTCTGGTTGGATCTGTCAGCACCTGTCTTAGCAGAAAGATCAATATATATATAGTTCTAGGCAGTATTGGCAAAGAAGATCTAAGTAGCCCTGTCTGAGCAGGACTTTATGCAGAGCTCACTGCAGCAATGCCTACCCACAGCACGAGCAGCGCCG